TGCTCTGAATTGCTTTAAGGAGTTAGCTCTGATCTTCACATGCTCCCTCGGGAAGAGCAGCATTTGTGGAGTTATCCCTGGACACAGATTAAAGTAGATCCTTGTGGCAACCTTGTTCTTAACCTCCTGACTACAGTGTCCCAACCAGACATGGCCAAAAAAACACCACGGTAAGAACTAAGGCTTTGCTAACTACTTCATTTGCCAGACTTGTATTTCTCTTCTCTTTGAACTCTGTCTAACAAAATTACACTCTCGAGACTGCTAAGTCAGCACTAGGAGCCAAAAGTCCTGTCTATTCCTGGTGTTAACTAAAGAGTTGAATCGATGAAAAAAACATTAATTCACACCTGAAAACAAACCAATCCTAAGCATAAATAACCCACAATACGCCACATATGTCTTATAGAGGGAATACATTTATTTAACTCAAATTTCTCAATCAGCTGCATCAACAGCTCCAATAATGACCTATAGATAATGACCTAGTAATAGGTAATGACCAATAGTTGGTAATAACCAAAACATTTGAAGGTTTACCTAGGAGACCTGAAGAAGCCTCAGTTACAAAAGACTGACTTGGGCTCAGTAAACTGTGTTTATTGATAGAGAGAAATTAAGACTCACATGTTTCCTCATATACTCAGGAACAAAGTTTGAAACCAAAGAGGTTTAGGGAACAGTTGGCAGCCCACTCCAGTACTCTTGCCTGGAAAATCCCATGGACAGAGGAGCATGGTAGGCTACAGTCCATGGGGTCGCAAAGAGTCAGACACAACTGAGTGACTTCACTTTCCTTTCCTTTCCTCCTAATTATAAAGGACAATGTCTTGAGCACTCCAGTTAATTAAGAGATTGCCTCATGATTGCATTTGTAACACTAATGCAAAAACACTAAACTTTTTACTCATTCATATATTAAATAATTTTGTGGCTGTTTAGTGGCTAAGTCATGCCCGACTCTCATGACTCCATAGATTATAGCCTGCCAGGCTCCCCTGTCTATGGAATTTCTCAGGCAAGTATACTGGAAAGGGTTGCCATTTCCTTCTCCAGGGGATTTTCCCGACCCAGGGATCAAACCCACATCTCCTGCATTGCAGGCAGATTATTTACCACTGAGTCACCAGGTAAGCCTCCATATTAAATAATAATGGCAGTCATATATCAGGCACTATGCCTGACCTCTTTTCTAATTACCCATAATGGACTGGTTCCAAATTGGGAAAGGAGTACGTCAAAGCTATATATTGTCACCCGGCTTATTTAGCTTATATGCAGAGTACATCATGCAAAATGCCGGGCTGGATGAACCACAAGCTGGAATCAAGATTGCTGGGAGAAATATCAATAATCTCAGATATGCAGATGACACCACCCTTATGGCAGAAAGCAAAGAGGAACTAAAGAGTCTTTTGATGAAAGTGAAAGAGGAGAGTAAAAAAGCGGCTTAAAACTCAACATTCAAAAGACAAAGATCATGGCATCCAGTCCCATCACTTCATGGCAAATAGATGGGAAAACAATGGAAACAGTGACAGACTTTATTTTCTTGGGCTCCAAAATCATTGCAGATGGTGACTGCAGCCATGAAGTTAAAGGACACTTGCTTCTTGGAAGAAAAGCTCTGACAAACCTAAACAGCATATTAAAAAGCAGAGACATTACTTTGCCGACAAAGGCCTGTCTATGGTTAAAAAAAGCTATGGTTTTTCCAGTAGTCATGTATGAATGTGAGAGTTGGGACTATAAAGAAAGCTGAGTGCTGAAGAATTGATGCTTTTGAACTGTGGTGTTGGAGAAGACTCTTGAGAGTCCCTTGGACTACAGGATCAAACCAGTCAATCCTAAAGGAAATCAGTCCTGAATATTCATTGGAAGGACTGATGCTGAAGCAGAAACTCCAATACTTTGGCCACCTGATGTGAAGAACTGACTCACTGGAAAAGACCCTGATGCTGGGAAAGATTGAAGGCAGGAGGAGAAGGGGACAACAGAGGATGAGATGGTTGGATAGCATCACTGACTTGGACATGAGTTTGAGCAGGAGTTGGTGGTGGACAGGGAAGCCTGGCATGCTGCAGTCCATGGGGTCGCAAAAAGTCGGACACAACTGAGTGACTGAATTGAACTGAAATTCCACCTTCCAAATATACCAAGTTGCTCACAAGGCTCAGAATATGCTCTGCTCTCTCCAGGCCTCAACACATTGCTATTTCCTCCGGCTGGAATACCTTTCCTCACACTCCACAGGGGAAGTATACACACAGACACACACGACTGCCTTCATTACCTTCTGGCACAAACGTCTCATTCTCATTTACTGAGCTCAAAGGCCATTCCTTCCAAGAAGCCCTCCTCCACCTCCTATAATAATATGTGCTGCCCTTAGAAAAGACTCTGACGCCGGGAAGATTGAAGGCAAGAGAAGGGGACAACAGAGGACGAGATAGCATCACTGGCTCAACGGACAAGAGTTTGAGCAAACTCCAGGAGATGTTAAAGGACAGGAAAGCCTGGTGTGCTACAGTCCACGGGGTCACAAAGACACAACTGAGTGACTGAACAAGTTTGTCTCACTGCAAAATGGAACCTGTTTATGTGCTTCTTCCAGTGAGCTCTGGAGAGCTGAAACTTGGCATTAAGAAGCAGTTCCTTTTAGTGGTTATGCAAGCCCTGCAACTGACTCCCTGGATTCTAATCCCAGGTTTATCTCTCTTAATCTGTGCATAATTTAGGGCAATAACTTAATCTCTCTGGGCCTCAATTTGCTCATCTTTAAAATGGGCATAACAACTGTGCCTATCTCCTTGCATTATTAAAAGGACTGCAGAATACACGCAAGTCTTATGAGAGGTATTGGTAATAGTAAGAATTCAATAAATGGTCTTCTAAAAGTCTTTCCTATAGAAAGGTAGGGAAAATTACCTGTCTACACCTCCATTATATTGTGAAAGGGCACTATACTTAAATGATTTATCTCTTTTAAAGTGTCCAAGAATAAAATTAAGTTGCAAGACCTACAGAAAGAGGCAAAACCAAGTTAAAAGTAAAGCAAGTGCTAGAAAAGCTGGGCTTCCCTGGTGGCTCAGATAGTAAAGAATCCACCTGCAATGCAGGAGACCCAGGTTCAATCTCTGGGTCAGGAAGATCCCCTAGAGTAGGAAATGGCAACCCTTTCCAGTATTCTTGCCTGGAGAATTCCATGAACAGAGAAGCCTGGTGGGCTACAGTTCATGGGGTCCCAAAGAACTGGACACAACTGAGTGACTAACACTTTTACTTTCAGGACAAGGTACTTGCAATGCAATTAACTAACAAAGGATCTGTTTCCAGAAAAGATTTTTCAAAAAGAAGAAAGAAAAAAACCCTATTATGAATCAATAAGAAAATCAGAGACTACCTAGCAGAAAATAGGCAAAGGATATTAATTATGCATAAGCATTTCACAGAAAAAGAAAGCTGAATGACCTATAGAACTATATATCGATTCTCAGGTACCATCTGATAGTGGCTAGATAATGCCACATGTAGCTGAAGATGCAGGAATCTTTAGGCTAGAGAAGAAGTGAAAGAGAGGGGATAAGGTTTTGACTTTCAGTGTTCTATTTCTTAAAAAAAAAAAAGAGAGAGAGAGGGGAAAAGGAAATTTGAAGTAAACATGACACAATAAATATGAAATCTGTACTGTGGGCACATGGGTTTCTAGAAAATTATTTTCTTTTCTAATTGTTTTAGATATCCAATAATTTAAAATGTCATGCCAAGTGAACTTATAAATAAGAACAGGTATTACAGACTTCGTGTTTCCAGGTATATTTCAAGAAACTGAATATTCAGATCTTTTATAGATGCTCAATATTTTCACTGATACCACTAAGTGGATGACTGGGTAAGAGGATGGGCAAACAGAGGCAGGGGTGAATGAATGGATGGACAGATGGGTAGGTGGACAGACAGATGAACAGGCAGCTGGGTAGACTGACATTCAAGTACATAAACAGAGACAGAAGCAATAAAGTCACTTAGTGAAGTGAAGAGTTTTAATGAAGTTGTATAAAATGAAGACTTGGGAGACTGAAGTCCCGGCTCTGGCAACCCTCAGACAGCTACCTTGGCAGGACCACCGGGTGAACTGCATGACCCCAAAGGGCCCTATGTATGAAAACGACAATGTGACCGGCGCCCCCTGGAGTTGTGCAATGCCCCAGCCCGGGAGGATAAACGCCATTACCTCTCTGAGTCCTTATTTCTCCATCTGTAAAATACAGCCCAATCATATCTGCTTCGTGGGGTCTATAAGAAGACTAATGAGACCCTGTATGTGAAGTGCTTAGTGCAGAACCCAGCACATGATAAGAAGTGAGAATGTGCTACTACCATCCAGGTAATACTAGGAAAATGGACACGAAGGTTCAAGACTCGGCTAATGTGCGACAGTAGCCCAAGGAGCTGCCTCCTCAGGATTTAAGGAGCAGGAAAGTAACATATGTACCGAGCGGCATTCCTAGCCAGTTTGGGATCTTAGTGACTGTAAGTTTTCCAGCAGACACTTTCAGTCCATAGTTCTGGAGTTCACTGGGGTGCCTCAGGTTCCAGGGGGTGGGGTTAGGCTGGGCGGCTGAGGGCCCAGGCTCTGCCTCTGCCGTCATCGGAGCAGATGGGCCGCTCTGCGCCCTCAGATGCTGGTGCCTCCTGGCTAATGTAAGCGATGTTAAGACTTCATGAACATAAATCCCATTTTATGCAACGCTTTCCACAAAGCATCTATCAAATGTTCACGGGGCACAAACATACACAGCAAACTCAGCCATGATGTGTACCGCACACATGGAGAAGCGGGGCGGGGAGCAGGCAGGAGGAGGCAGAACAAGGGGCAACCGGCAGCTGTCTCCTCCCTGCTTACACTGTCGTCATCCAGAGCCCAGTTTCACAATTTAAAATAAGGGGGCTTTTCCACACACAAAACAGACTGAACATAAGTTTTCCCTGAAGGGCACCTTTTTTAACACAACTAACGACTCCAAAACTCAGGAGCTGAAAACACCGAGGACTGCCCATCTCTCCTGACTCTGCACTCTGCTGGGAGTCCCTGCTGGGTTGGCACCCTCTGCTGCAGTCAGCTGGGGGGCTCCTGAGCTGGAAGGTCCGCCGAGCCTCGCGGCTCTCCGGGCGGGATGCTGGCCGCGCGGCCTCGGGTCTCCACGTCTCCTCCGTGTCTCCTCCCATCCCCTGGCGGCTAGAGCAGCTTCTTCTCTTGGTGGCCTCGGTGGTCTCGGGGCGAGGAACCAACAGAAGTGCGAGCTGCCAGGCGTCTAGACAGGGCTGGGGCTTGGCTGGCACGGTGTCACTTCCACACATTCTGCTGGTCAAAGCAAGTCAAAAGGCCACCAGACACAAGGGGAGGAGAAATCAGTTCCACCCAGAGAAGCAGCAAAGTCCTCTCGCCGGGGGCTATCTGAGACCACCTGCCATACGGCCCTTGGAAGTCAGGCATGGACGGGCCTGGACTTCTGAACATGGTTTGTTTGTTAAGGAAAAAAAAAAACTCCAGGGCTTAAAAGAAGCATTTGAAAACCGCTCCATGATAGACAACAGTCCAGAAAACTCTGTGAACACAGGCTGCTGCTGCTGCTAAGTCGCTTCAGTCGTGTCCGGCTCTGTGCGACCCCATAGACAGCAGCCCACCAGGCTCCACCGTCCCTGGGATTCTCCCGGCAAGAACACTGGAGTGGTGAACACAGGAGTGAGAAGCATTTATTCTTCTCCTGAAGAAAAGTCTTCCTGGCAGGAGCAACAGGGTTCCTGAGGAAGCGCGATTTCTCCTCCACTGAGCAGAGAGTGGCAGTCATATCGATGCGACCAATGAAGATGGTGAACAAGTGACCGGGGGAGGGGAAGACTGGGCCTCACCGGAGCAGGTACCTGAGACGTGTCCTCACAGGACAGCGACAACGACCGAGTGTGATGCTTGCGTGCAGACAGGCCAGGCTGTCAGGTGAGAGAGAGGTGGGGCGAGGGGAGAGGAGCCTGTGCGCAGGGGGAGGGAAGGGCGCTGAGGGGAGCAGATGCAGAAGGAGGCAGAGCTGCTCGGCTACAGGGACGCCCCTCACCAAAGGAACACAAGGCTGAAAAGCCAGCCTCCGGAACTCTTCTTTCCTCTTCTGGAGAGAGACAGCAGGAAAAATAAGAACGAGGCTTTGTGCAAACAGCGAAGTCTTATCAATACAATAACTGGATGCTAAGTAAATGAGAAGAGACTTCACAATGCTCTGACAAATCAAAGAAGAGGACAGATGAGAAGAGGGCAGGACAAGGCCGAGATTCAGACAATAACCAAGCCATCCGCCTCTAAGAAACAACCCGGCTCTCTCTGTGGGGACAGGTGGACACATACAGTCACACTTGTATGCGTGGGTTTATAATTGGTTTCATTTTATTCCACAGTAAAATGGGTTAATGGTACATCCATATTGTGACAACATTCTCCAGCAAATGTCCTAATTAGGAACCCTAACTAGCTTTCCATTATTTCAAAACTGTCCAAATCTGGGTAGACCCCGAAGACCATCTGGAACCTGGACTTCTGCCCAAGCAGCAAGGGATTGTCCTTCATTAGACCTCTCCACGCCCCAGCTAACTGAGAGAGAGACAGAGTGATGGAGAGTTACGTGGTAAACACACTGGGAAACAGCATTTCTTGCTCAGATATTTGGTTTTGTGATTTTATCTTCCTTGCAAGTGACCATGTCCATAAAACTTCAAAGGAGATTTTGATTTAAATCTGGTGCCTTGGCTATTTAAAATTAACTGGGACATGCATTTATTTAAGCATGCATTGCTGTCTACGGGCATATGCAGAACACTCATCCAAGAAACAGCAGAAAGTACTGTTATTCTTTATTTTATCTTTTAACTATTTTAGTTTGAAGGGGAAGCTTTTTAAAAAATCAGGAATAACTTAAAAATCCAGAGGGCGGAACTGCCAATAAAGTAAAACCATTCACGTTGATTTATCATTGTATTTCTGCAACCATTGCTTGCTTCACTAGCTTGTCACTGTATGTATGTTAAGGTTGAGGGGAGGCAGTCATCTGGATCTCACATCGCATATAGAAGGTGATATAGATGATAAAAGTCAATCATAAAGCTCCCCCAAGTGGATGTTTATAAAACTACATCAAGAAACCAGCCCCTCTAGCTGGGACTGTGATCAACACTGAGGCCCCAAATGATAAGCAGCAGTGACCTGGCTTATCCATTATTTTGTACATAATTTAATAAGATCTGCATCTTGGAGAAAGAATTCTATAAATTTTAAAAGAGATTCTGCAAAAACGCTCCTTCTGGCTTCCGGGGAACTTAACTGGGCCTGGAAGCTGCTGGTGGCTAGACTAGACCTTACCTGGACGCAATGGATCCCGGGATACAGTGATTTACAGCTGCTCAGAGGTGCAGAGTGCCCCCGTGACCCCTCTGGAAAAGCTCCCCATCCACTCAGTTGTGTTCCTTACGCCACTAGTGGGGCTGATTATACCGAATTACTTGGCACCCCTGTTAAGCCTGTCACTTAGATTCCAGAACAAATTAAGTTTGCTGAAGGCTTTGCTCTTTCTCTCTATTAAAATATTCATATCTACTCTAACAACCTGATAAAAACTGGCTAAAAGCCTTGCAGTATGCCCTATAGGGAGTGCCATTTTTAATGAATCTGCAAGCATCATAAATAAAAAATAACTGGTCTTAATAAAGAATTGATAGAGCAGCTCTGGTCCCAGATAGGTGTCAATGGGGAGGCTACACACAGCCTTAGGAGACCCAGTGCAGCATGAGTCTCCCAGTTAGATGGGGAAGGCCCCCATCCACCAGTAAACTCCAAACAAGGGCAGCATCCATGAATAACTTTCCATAGAATAGTTGAACCTAATGGATCTCATTGGAGATGGATGGTAGAGGGATGGCAGGGGGCCCTTCCAGGGCTGTATAAGAAAGTGGGGAGGAGGACAGGTGATAACAAGAGTAACAGCTAACATTTCTTGAGCGTTTACCACGTATCAAGCATTCTCTTCCCAGCAAACCTACTAAATGGGCAGTATTACCCGCTCCTTAGAAATGAAGGCTAATGGAATTTATGGGCTTCTCCTGGTGGCTCAGAGGTGAAGAATCCACCTGCAACGCAGGAGTCGAAGGAGATGCAGGATCAATCCCTGGGTCAGGAAGATCCCTGGAGGAGGGCATGGCAACCACTCCAGTATTCTTTCCTGGAGAATCCTCATGGACAGAGGAGCATGGTGGGCTACAGTCCATGGGGTCGCAAAGAGTCGGACACGACTGAAAGGAGTTAGCAGCAGCAGCAACAGAATTTATATAAGCAGCGTAAGAGCTGAATTCCAACCCAGGTCTGACCCTCAACCCCAGTCCCTAAGCACTAAAAGCTTGATAAAAGCATTAGAAACATTTCGTAAAACTCTTAATTCACTCCAGTTATTTTTTGGCAAAAGGTGGGACATGAGGCCAGCAATCAGCCTTCACTTGGCCCTGGGGCCAAGAACCAGGCTGGAGTCTGGGCCTCCTTCCTGCTAGGCCAGCAGGCTGCTCACTCTGACTCCACCCCAAAGCTCCACAAGAGAACACAGGACCCAGAATCCTAAGCTCCAGAAAATAAACTAAATATATACTCTCACGCTTCTGGAATCCAGGCAGAACTGCAGCCTGGCTCTGTCATTTGGGACTGTGTGACATTAAACCAGTTCTCTCTCCTCTCTGAGCCTGCAAACTTGTCCATCACACAGGAATGACAGCCTTAACTGCTCACACCCAGCTTTGTTCCAAAAGGATTTAAGGCAGGAAGTTAACACCTGTGTCACTGAGAGGAGGTCAGAATAAAACATGATTTTACTACCTATCTATGACAACAGCACTTGTTTTGAGAGACTCTCCCTAAAGAGCCCAGCGTGGAGCCTGGCTCACGATGGGCTGGCAGTAAATACGTCCCTGCCCCTGGCCCTGGATCACTCATGATCCCCCCAGCCCTCCTACAATGCCTTCCAAAGGTTCCCCCACCAGAGCCACCTCCCACCGCATTGCTGTGCCTGTCTCTCCCCAGCTCTTCATTCCTTTCGTGACCCTGGGATGGTGATCAAGAAAAAGGAGCTGAAACCATCCTGGCTCTCCTCTTACCCCTCAAGTGCATTCACAAGTGCTTAACTGGCCAAAACGCTGTTGTAGCGATGTCCCCTGCAGGAGGGGCTGGCTTCACTTAATTCTAAACCTCCTTCCCACATATTAATAGTAAGGCCAGAAGGACAGAGGGCTTCCCAGGCGGCGCTAGTGCTAAGAAACCCACCTGCCAATGTAGGAAACGTTAAGAGACACAGGTTCGATCCCCGAGTTGGGACGACCTCCTGGAGGCGGGCATGGCTACCCACTCCAGTATTCTTGCCTGGAGAATCCCAAAGGAGTCTAGCGGGCTACGGTCCATAGGGTCACAAAGAGTCGGACACGACTGAAGAAACTTAGCATGCCCGCACGCAGATCAAAGGCCACACTTGTGGTAGCCCAGAGTGTGACATCTACACGGGGTAGCCGACTGGCACAGGCAGTCCAGATAAGCAAACCTTCTTTCTTCTTCAATCATGTTGTTTTCCCGCTGTGTTTAGTTACAAGTTTCAGACCAGCACCATTTTCAAGAACGCTGGCACTCCAGACTCCAACTAGACCACGTTGTGTAACCTAAGGTTTCTCATCCGTTATACGGGGAGAGTGATCAACTGTAACTCATAAGGTGGTGGTGAGCTTGAGTGAAATCATCCATGTGAAAGCTTGGCATATAGTAAGTGCTCCATAATATTAATAGTTAGTTTTTATTATTGGGGCTAAAACAGACTTGTGTTAGCCTCAGAACCTGGCTGCCAGTTAGAATGCCACTGTTGCTAAGAGAAAATACATTCTATTAATAAGATGCAAAACACAGGTTGACAACCAACTTTTGACAATGAGCTGTTATTTTTAAAAAAAGGAAATCAACATTCAACTTTCAACTTTCTGGGGGTGGGGGTGGGGGTGGGGGCTGTACTGGGTCTTAGTTGCTGTGTGGGTTTCCTCTAGTTGCTAGAGCACTGGCTACTCTCTAGTTGCAGCGCAGGCTTCTCATCGCGGTGGTTTCTCTTGTGGCACATGGGCTCTAGGGTACATGGGCTCAGTAGCTGCAGCTCCCAGGTTCTGAAGCACAGGCTCTGTAGTTGTGGTGCACAAGCCTAGCCACCCCATGGCATGTGAGATCTTCCCAAATCAGGGACTGAACCCATGTCTCCTGCATTGGCAGTCAGATTCTTTACCACTGAGCCATCAGCGAAGCCCCCATTCAAATTTTAATCAGCTAGCTATGCTAGAAAAAGATTGCCTTTCCAAAATCAACGCAAAAATGTGGTACTGATCACCAAAGATGCTGTTACAACAAGCAACATCGTTTTCTTCATCTAATGAGTCTAATGTGATCAATGATTTTTTATTTATTTTTTTTTTTTACTGTATGCCTTTGACAGCATCATGTCAAAAGTTTCTTCCGTTCAGGGTATGACCGAACCCAGCCACCCTCAACCCCCACTCAAGGCCATCCTCAAAGTCTAAGTGGCATCAGGGATCTTCATTGAGTGACAGCTACATGGCTGAAAGTTAAACACATTTTTCAATGGACTATTGGGGTCAGAGAGAAGTGCATGCCTTCCACCTACTACTTAGGGTCAGAACATTTGCAGTGGTGGAGCAGGAGGTTAAGCCCTGGTCTTATCTCAGGTGGGAAGGAAAAAGGTCAGGATTCTTACTCAAAAAATAGCTCCCCCATAATCCCACCAATTGGTTTCACTGAGTCTACAAAGTTCTCCTTTCACAAGTGAATATTACATAGAAAAGGATTCTAAAGAGATGCTCCACAATTTGACACTGGTTTTCTACAGGTGGTGGGACTGTGGTTGATTTGGGGTTTCTACTTTTATCTATCTGTATTTTCTAACTTTTTTACAGTGAAAAATTAAAAGTTAATTTTGATTTTGAAAAGACCTTTCTTGACAGGATTAAATAAATTATATTTGGTAGGAATCAGCTTACAAATGGAAGAAGGCAAATCACAATGAAGTATCACTCCATACATATTAGGATGGCTATC